AGAGCCCACCCACCCACCGCTCCCCACGGCACGGAGCACAGTGGAGACATTCCCACCTCAGCGTCCCGCTCTGACAGGTCCTGCCGCGACTGCCGCTGCGCCTGCACCATGACGCCGGTGCAGAGCAGCAGGGCGATCAGCAGGATGGTGTTCCACAGCTGCTGCAGGTACTTCTACGGGACAGTGCACAGGGGAGGTGAGCCGGACACCTCGCACCGCTCCCAGCCCCACGGAACCCCAGTGCCCTACCTGGACCTGGGAGCTGTTCTCCCCGGTGCAGATCACCCCCTGCCACTCCCCGTAGAGGCCTCCTCGGGACAGGCCACAGGTGGACCACAGGGTGAGGGTCACTCCCTGCAAGTCAGGACACGGCATTGCCGACGGCCACAGCAGCGTCCAGCGACAGGAGCACACGTGTCACGGGGAACAGGAACGCCGGCACCGCCAGCTGTCCTGCTCCCACGGGCACACCGAGGCACTGAGCCTGCGTGGGGCTGGGCCCTGCTCCCTGCAGCTGCTTCCCATGGAGAAGGGAACTTTGGCTGAGCAGCCCTGCCCTTGCACTGGGAGGCAGAGGAGGAGGAGGAAGGACCAACATACCAGGTTCTCCAGCAGCACTGCCTGATATGTGATCTTCGCTGTAGCCCGGAGTCCCCTGCGAGCAAAGAGTAAGGAGTTTCAATCCTATGGGAGCAGCAGGATCTGGCCCACAGCAACCCCTTCCCACAGGGATGGGCAGTGAGCAAGGGAGCTCCCAGGGCCAGAGGAACACACAGGAGCTGACAGCAAGACATGCTGTGCCCAGCCCTCAGGAACCTGCACAGGCCTCTTCCTCCCAGCCTTGTGCCTCAGTTTCCCCATCTGCAGCACCAGATCACCCCAGCAGTGATCCCAATTACCCATGTGTCAGAGGATTCCCAGCATTGTGGGAAGTGAGGATAAACACCCACGGAGGCTGTGGTGGATGTCAAAAGTCCTAAAACTCTTAGCTAAGGCCACTGTTACTCCTGCAACCCCATGGGGACCCATGGTAGGGCTCCAGCCCTGGGGAAGGGCTGGATCTGACCCAAAGCCTCCCTGGAAATCCATCTCAGCCTCAGCTGGTGTCAGCACAGTGCAGGGGACACCAGCCCAGCAAACAAGATGGGCTGGGTGAGAGACCCCCAGGGCAGCCCCTGGGAGTCACAGCCAGGCAGGGACAAGGCAGGCCCAGCCCCTCCTGCTGCCCCAGCCCATACCTCAGCAGTGCTCCCAGCAGCCTGGTGACATTGTCCGAGGACTGGATGACGATGACAGGCTTGGCCAGCAGCTGGGACACATCCAGCTGCAGCAGGAGGGAAGCAGCAGCTGTCAGTGGGGCAGGAGACCTGCCTGGGGCCGCGCCGCCGGCGCCGTCCTACCTCACGGATGGCATTCTGGTTCAGTGCCAGGATCAGCAGGGCTGAGGCTCCCAGCACCAGGGCTCGCTTCATCTGAGGGGACAGAGGGACAGGCTCAGGGGCAGCATGGGCAGTGGGGCTGTCCCCAACCAGCTCCTGTCCTGCTCAGGCAGCACCTGCCGCCTCTCCCCCATGGCTGAAGGGTCACAAGGGACCCAAGAGGGGTCAGGATAGCCCTGCAAGGGGTCCCTCTGCCACCAGACACAGATCAGGACCCCCAACGTCTGGCAAGGAGACACCCTAAGTGACACCCCTGCAGCCTTGTGAGCAGCATGACAACCACTGGGCCAGGTGGAGAGACCCAGGAGTGGGCAGAGAGGTGCCGAGGCTGGGCAAAGGGGACCTGGAGTGGGGCAAAGGGGACCTGGGGTGGGGCAGAAGGTCACTCCAGGCAGGGCAGAAGGTCACCTTGGTGACGACGGCGGTGGTGAAGGACTCCTCCCTGGCGCCGCGGGGGCCCTCGGCCGGCTCCTCACCCACAGGCACCACCCCGATCCAGCTGTCGGCAGCACCCAGCTCCGGCTCTGCATCACCCACCTGGGACAGGGCAAAGGGAAGGAGAGCCAGGATGGATGCCCGAGGATCCCTGTGTGCCCTGGGGATGGTGC